AGTTATAAACTATCACTCATTAGACAAATGTTAGTTACTTTTCTTGTTAGTATTTAATAGATATGGAAATTTGCTTCACAGTCTACAATTGTGCTAATAAAATAGGTATTTGTAAATACAAATTTTCATGGTCATAACATCAGCCTTATTAATTGAAAATATCTAAGAGTGAGATCAAATTTAAATGGAAAACATATGTTTTTGAAACATACACCTTACACAACCTCTAAAATATCTATGAAACTGGAGATATAAACCTTTTGCTTTACTTCATATAATGTTGGTATTCTGAGTCTGTATAACTCTCAAAAAGTGTTATAAATGCATATTTCCTAAGGAAATGAAATAATTTGTAACTCAGACTCTATACTATAGAGGAATAAAACAAGCGAATCATCATTTAGCATCCTTTTCAGAGTTTGATCAAGGTTATTTACCTAAGTGGACATGCCAAAAAAAAAAAAAAAAAAAAAAAAAAAAAAAAAAGCAACTCTGAGTTGAATTTCCAGCCAGTATTGGGGATTTCAAGATCTCCCTTGGTTTGTGGTAATTATTATCATTACATAGTTTAATGGACAAAGAGTCCTTTATCAGAGGAATATGAACAGAGACAACCCAATACGATGCTATGGCTCTGCTCAACAGCCACAGGTGTCACTCTGTAAGGTTGTGAATACATTTGTGTGTGTGCAGTGCCCATGTCTGAGAGAAAATGGAAGGCCAGATCTATATCCAGCACTGTGGAGGAGGTTATCTAAGGAGAAGTTTTTACAACCAGGCTAGACTACTTGAAGTTATCTAGCCTCCAAGAAAAAGAAAACTCCGTGATCTAAGTGATAAGCACCCAGAGAGCTGTAGCATCATCCCAGAAACTTTAATCAGGACCAAAAACTCATCTGGAATGTTCATTTGAAGGCTAAGGTTTTTTAAAAGAGATTTTCTTTTCCTAATACACTGAATGTGAGGGATCAAAGACATTAGATGTGTGTCGACAACCTATTTCAAAAGTCTGGGGGAACTTTTATAATTCTCCCTTCAGAGAAGGCCCTTTGGGTTTCTTAGCCTTGGGCCACTGATTCCAAATTCTATACAGTAAATGAAAGCCAACTATTGGGGAAATATCCCTGGGCTGGGAAAGTAACTCAGTGGCAGAGTTCTTGCTTGGTATACAGGATCCCCTGGGTTTCTGCTCCAGAACCACCAAAAAGCAAGGGGCAGTGGGGGGGAGGGAGGTGTTTGTTACAGTCTCCTACAGTGCCTTACCTTAACTTAGGCCTGAAAGCAGGTGAACACATGGCTAATTCCTTGTTCAATTCTGAACACCTAGTTACTCTACAGGAACAGCAATGGTAACCTAAAACCTGAGTTGTAAAACCTGCTCCATCACAGCTGTAACCAACTGACAACAAAGTCCTAACAGACAATGTCTCTTTTGCACAAAAAAAAAAAAAAAAAAACCCAGTATGTTATTTTTTTAACATTAGGAAGATATTTTTAAATGATTTTTTTTAAAGAATCACAATATTGTGATACTTAGTAATCATTATTTCAAAATGACAGATGCTATTGTTCCTGGAGAAATTTTCAGTTGCTTTTCTCTTACCAGTGCATAGATTGAAAGATTTGCCAAGTGCTCTCTGAAGAAAATTGAAGATCTGCATTTAAATAGAGATATAGTCCTTCAGAATGCATGGTACCTGAGAGGCCCATACTGTCAGGGCTCCTTAGTGAGGGTAGCTCAGATTGTATTAGGCACATTTTAATGCTGTAGCTCAGGCTATGGAATATTCTTCCTAATCTTTGTCCCGAGAAGTTAAAATTAAACCTTGTGCCAATGTAAAGCCCCCACACTAACAACAAGCAATTAGGACCATACATAACATTCCTGATGTGTACAAAAAAGACCACAGAAGATAACTTGGCCAGAAATGCTAAATAATTGAAGAGTATAATGACTTAATAGAGTAGTAAGCTTGGTTTACACTGCAGCCAATTTAAGCCATAAAAATACTGTGTAAAAATTTTATCTTGTGGTTGACCGTTACATAGTCAATCTATTATTCAAAAGTGCCTACCTCTTCAGGGTTTCTCTTCATCAGTGTGGCTTTCCCTCAAAAGCTTTCTATCCCAACAGTCTTCCAACAATTTCCAAACAAACACCAATCTTCTGAATTGTTTCATAAAATCCTTTCACCAGGGTCACCTGATCTTCCAGGTCTCACTGAAACTGACATCACAGGTCAGTCTCCAAAGGCAAACTCTGACCTCCTTCCAATATGAGTAGGTTTGCAATGAACAGAGCAGAGCACACAAGGCATCAAAGTAAATAAGTAAGTAAATAAACAAATCAAGCTACTTTCTTGCCACCTTTGTAAACAAAAGGAGAATCTTCTAAATAATTACCTTTCCTGTGACAGGTGAACCCAGGGATTTGTCCCTTAGAAAGTGTCAAGGGACAACACAAAAGTTTGCCTTGAGTGTTGGACTAAGGTATATAGTATCGAAGGAGAAACAAGCCATGAAGAAAGAGCAGTCCGGAACATAACGCCCATGACCCCTGGCAGGCTCTTGCCAAAATCTTCGCACAGCTGAGAACAAGGTCCCTGGGAAGGAAGTTATTCAGATCCTGTTTTCCCAGGCGTGCTCCTGAGAGCTTTTTGGTGGTCTGCATGCTTACTTAGTTAGCCCTTATCTTGCTGGGCTGCCACACTCATGCTGAGTCAAATTTGGAGCTCAAAATGAAACATGAAAGATCTTGAAGATCACTTAATATCGAAATACTGTTGTGGTAATAAGTGGTGCTCAGTTGGAGACGGGAACATGGCACTCTCTGGTAACCTTTTAATTTCTGGAAAAATTGCACAGAATAAATTGAGCTGTACATACACATGAAAACCTAATCGATTGATCTAGTCTATTTTGTTGAGCAAAGAATACCAGAAGGTTTCAGTACATATCATACAAGAAGACTTAAACGATTTTGATTTACTAGGGGGAATGAGACATCCTTTACCTCATCACCACAGTCAATGGACAGTTTAATATGCAATGTGATGCCATCACAACAGCTACACACTTAATACTACCTAATGCAAATTTAGAGAGTAATGAGAATTGCTTTAGGACAAAATAAGAAAAGCATAGATAGCACACAAATCAGTGTTTGAAAGATCCCGGAGGCAGGCTTCTTCTTAGCCTGGCTACTTCCTCAAAACAAGGACGAATCCCCTTCAAGGTCGCAGCACCTTCATCAGCAGGTCAATGCCTCTACCATCCCTGAGTTCAGACATGAGAGGCCTTCAAACTGCCCTCTTTTTGACACAAATACAGACCTGTTTCTCAGGCTGGTTAACTCAGTTTGATAACACCAAATCTACTGGACAGGAGAAAAACAAAACAACAAACTACCAAAGCCAAAGACAGGCAAAAGCCACTCTGGTCCTTCCCAGCTAGTTTCCCTCAGATACTTCTGACTCTTTACTTTTTTATTTTTTCATGAACTTGGTTGTTTCTGAACTTGAGTGTTTTTCAAACACCCTCCCATGCTTGGTCTTTGGGCAGTGTGGGAAACAGATGGGTTTCTCTTCAGAACTGATCCAACTCATTCAACTGCTCTGAAATATACTTTCAGGGGCTGCAGGATCTTCAAATATTGGGCAGGGTTGTTTTAAAGTAGCAGGAGGTTATAGGCCCATTTGGTGTCTCAGAATCCAAAGGAACAAAGCAACCCAATAAACACATACAGTCATCTCTCAGCTCTGGGGCTTGATGGGGCTGGGGAGGTGGGGGCAGGAGTAGCAAGGCTGGTACAGAACTGCTTTTTAAAATTCTGGATGGATGAGGAACTGCATCTAGGAGACTGTTCCCTGCTGAAAGGGAGGAGGAAAGTGGGGGAGCCTTGGGTGTCCTTTCCCCCAAGGAGGGGTGGAAGTACACTGGGCTCTAACCTGCAGGCACTCTGATAGAATCAAAAGGTGGCAAGGAATGATAAGCAGTCTGAAATACTTAGTCCAGTGACCTCCAGACAACTTCGGTGACTTCCTCTCTGGGGAAGGTGAAAGCATAGGAAAGCCAGGGGAGGAGGGAAAGGCTTAGAGGACAGGAGGGACACATAGCACCACAGCAGCAGCACAGCAGCACTGACCTGCCCAGTGGCAACACCCTTCAACTCCTGGTGCCCCTTTCACCCACAACGACCCCTGCCCCAAGTCCATTTGGCCCTATCACCTCCCAGCCCCAGGGTCCTAACTCTGGCTTAGGTCTTTACCACTTTACAGAGCACTGAAAGTCTGTAACCGGGAAGAGGGGGATGGGAGGGGTGTTGAAAGAAGGAATCTAACAGCAATTCAAATCTATCCGTGCCCCAGCACACACCTGACACTTGCAGTCTGGGCCAGGCAAGTCTACAAGAGGTGGGCGCTACTTATGCGTGTGTTATTGAGAGAGGGTGTCCTTTATTTTTCTTTTCTTTCTTTTCTTTTCTTTCTTTCTTTCTTTCTTTTTTTTTTTTTTTTTTTTTTTTTTTTTTTGTTGTTTTTTTTTGTTTTTTTTTTTTCCCCCTCCAAGAGACTCTAAGCAAGTGAAGGGGGAAGGGGTAGCAATACGGATTCCAAGCAGGACTGCAAACACAGATGCAAATGTCTGTTTCCAGACGCTGATGGTTAGGGATGGGGCAGTTACCTTTGGCAGGGTCAGAACTGCAGCAGGTTAATCGGGTGAGTCCTCGGGGATTTTTTTTTTTTTTTTAATATTTTTTTTTTTTTTTCAAAGCAGCCGTAGCAGCCCCGGTTGCTTTGGCTTAGGAAAGTCTACAAACCCCCCATGCAGGGACATCGCACATCTCACACACGCCTCCTTGAGCTGGGCTTCCGCGACCTCGGCGGGGCTAGGGGGTGGCGGGCGGCCGGCGGGCGGCCAGGGCCCGGCCCCAGGCTGTGTCCCCGCGCGCAGCGGCCCTGCTTGGGCCCCGGGGTCCGCGTCCCGAGCGGCGCAGCACTCACCCAGCCGGGCTGCGAGGGGCCGAGCTGCGCCCGCGGCTAGCCGGAGCGCCCAGGCGCCTCCCTTCGCTCTTGGTAGCGTCGGTCCGCACTCCCTGTGACCCAGGACGTCATGATGCCTTCCCTGTTTTCTTAATGATAACTTGGCAGAAGAGGAGACAGGCTGCTAGGTTCTCCTCGGGTGGTTGCGTGGTATGTGCACGTTTCTCTTTGCATGCGTTTGGCTCCCTCTTTTTTTAAAAAAAAAAATAATAAATATATCTCTCTATTTAAAAAAAAAATTCCCCGGCACTGTCAGGATTTGATGGCATTACTGCGTTTGCATAATCGACGCCTCTGGGTGTGTATAGATGTATGTATGTGCGTGTGATTTCTTTTTTCCCTTTAAATCCTGCTGCTCCTGCCTCCGTCGCCGCCGCAGCCGCTGCAAAAGCAAGCATGCGTTCCTCTTTTGTCTTTCATTTTACCTTCAGGGTGACATTCAGTGCCAACTGCTCCCTTTTGACCGTCGCCAATCCCCGCCTGGGCAAAATAAATTTGAAAAAAAAAAAAAAAAAAAAAAAAGCCGGAGTGGGGGAGGGGAAGGAGGTACCCCTTCAGCCCCGATGCTGGGGTGCTGTGTTCCCGGATCCCAGACCTACACAACCCACCTCCCATCCTTAAAAATAAACATCTTCCCCTCTACCCACCCGGCCCAGGCTGAGAATCGGCTGGCACCAAGGAGAATCCACCCAGGGCCCCACTCGTGTTCGCGGTACATACTGGCTGACTTGCATACCCGGTGCGTAGGCCTCATACAACCGCAGCTATTTTTCTTTAAATCTTTTTTTTTTTTTTCTTTTAATGAGGAGGGGGTAGGGAAGAAAGAGGAGTCCCAGGCTGTGTGTGAGGGTTCTATGGACCAGGTAGAAAACTCAGGAGAGGGGGAAGGGGTATGCTGGTATCTAACTCACCACCAGGGGAGTTTGGAAGGACATAAAGGGTGATAGCTTTTATTTGACTTACTCTAAATGGCAGTAAAACTTTTTTATATGGACAAAGATGTGACAGCTGACTATCCAGTGCCTTTGTCATCTTAATAATTAGGTTCCCCTACATCAGTAGGAAGGGGTTCCAGGATAACCTTAATACTTCCATCTGCAAACAGGAAGGTATGCTTTAGCTGGTATGACCACAGGACTACACAGCACAGATAACTTATTTTTGTCAGGCCTCCTTTGCTGTCTGCTCACTGTCTGGCACCCCTAAGCTCTGTCAGGACATCATAATATTGTAGATTTCTGTACCCTGTGTATGGGTCATAGATACAGATGCCTAGTACCAGGTCCAATAAACATTTTGTCCATCTTGGTCACTGCTAACCCATTTATAGTAGTAGAAGAGACAAAGGAGGGATTCCCCCCAAACCTGACTGTGATCTTGTTCTCTAGAATGTATTGCTGAGGTCCCTCACTATACCCTACAGATTCCAAATTCCTCAAACATGACAGTAGATGCCAAGGTAGAGGGCAAGGGAAACCCATAGAGGAGAATGTCAAATATGAAAAATGGAAGGGCCTGGAAGGGAACTTTCTAACTCACCCAAAATCATCCTCAGCTGCTATCTCTCCATTTGAACATACTTTGTCTAACTGAAGCTGGCTCAGCTTTGGGAGAACACCATGACACTTGTTGCATCTTTTCCCTTTAGAGTCACAATCCAAGAATCGCTAGCAAACCCCATGGGGAAGACACTGTAATTATGCAAAAGCCAGACAATCAGAATTGGAGGAGCGCCTGGCTGAAGTAGACTAAGAGGGTCAGAGGACTATTGACGAATGGCAGAATCCCAAGACTTGAGCAGAGCCTCTCCACCCTTGACAATCGGCCCAGATGCTCTGGCTCTGCTTACAGTCTCTTTGGACTGCCAAGAGATGAGCTGATACATCCCCTTGGTGCTGAGAGGTGACCAGAGCCATTGATTCAAAAGACCTACAGACTATTCAGCATGCCTGTCTATAGATGTTATTGGTAACTTTCCAGAAAATAGCCAAAACATACTGGTTAACTGGTGAACAGGCAACATTGAGTTCTCCTGTTTGTTTGTTTGGTGGGTTAGGTTGGTTGGTTGTTTCACTTACTGTCATCAGAACCATTCCCTTGATGACCTAACTCCAGGATATCAAAATAATAATAATAAGAATAACCCCGACTAACTTTAATGCCCTGAAATACATTATTTTTTCTTTTCAGGCAAATGCTGTACTTGCTTCAGCAACCCACACATCAGTGCAAAGCCCAAGAGGTCTTTTCCCTTGGCAGTCAATGCTCAAGTTCTCCAGAGGTCTGAATAGATGATTAGATGATTGTCTGTTTGCTTGCTCTTTTGTGTGTGTGTGGGTGGGGGGAGTTCTTATGTAGCTCTGACTTGACTGGCCTCAACCACCCAGCAAGACTTCCCCTAGGTGCTCAGGTGGGATTGTAGGCATGCACCAACATGCCCAGACTGCATGGGTGCTTTCAAAGCCAAGATTCTCCAACTCTTTCAAGAATGCCTCTCTGTTGCTGGTCCAAGTTCAGACTCAGACTGTTTCCAAGGTTTTATTTTCTGTGTTCATCTTAAATATATTAGTCAATAGTGTTGGAGCATGCTCAATTTAACCTCCCAGCCAAACCAGGAAGGACTGAAAGGGTTTACTAAGCAGCTTGGGACACATACATAGAAAGCAAGGCTGTAAGCTTGACTTTGTTTACAACATAGAAACCAAATTCACTCTCCAACCCAGCAGGAGAGTGAAGATGAGGATTAGCCCCTCCTTACACAAGAAAATCCCAGCATGGAGAAGTTTAGATCCAGGTTACACAGCTTAGATTCAGAGCTGTGAGCTCTCACTATCAACCTATTGCCAGCAGCTGGCATCACACCCAGACTGATCACCCCACCCCCCAAGGACCAATCCTGCTGGCAACTCATTGCCATCTCACAGTCTCAGTGAACACTGTCCTTACCCATTCTCCAGCATGCCGGGCCTTCCTTCCTTCTGCCTCTTTGAATTCTATTCATTATTCCAGTTTTACCCATTGGTGAAGGCCAAGTTTGAACCCTACTACATCCACAACGCTGTTATTTATGACCAGTCTACTCTTCCACAGCTCTAAGGTGTTCGCTGTTGCACAGGACATCCTGTCCTCTAAGTGTTTGGGGGTTATTTTTAATCCCTTCCCCACCTTCCAGTTCTTTTCTATCAGAATTATGCCTCCCCACTCCCCCATCTTTTCCTGTTTATGCAGCGCGGTGCCAATTTTAACAGCGGCTTTCATTTGTGTCTCTGGTGCATTAATTCACACAGAGGTACTCTTTGGAGCACAGTGATAGAATCTGGTAGAATTTGAAGTTTTATGTAACAAAGGCTTCCTCACCCTTTCATCTGAAAACATGTAACAGTCCGCAGAAAACAAGTCATCCTGACATGACTGTATACCCTGCTGGAATCCTAGCACCCACAGGGGAGACTGAGGCAGGAGGAGCTCAGGTTCCAGGGAGGAATGGAGAAAAGGGAAAACAACAAAGTCAGATTAATGGTGAGATTACTTACCTTGAGAATGATGTTGGGGCTGACAAAGATGAGCAGGGATATGCAGAGAGCTTTTGGAAATGTAATCGCACATGGGTTGTTGTAGCTGATTTTGCATTTCCCATGTATGTTTTGTGGTTAAAAAGTTAGGACATTTAGGGTCTGGTGCTCACTAGATCTGCTATTGGACAGCTTGTGTGACCTCAGGCAAAGGCATTGGTTCCCTAGTGTGTTAAACTAATCTCTAAGGTCTCTTTAGCTCTAGGAGTCTGGAACAGAATGGGAGGGGAAAGAGAAAACAAGAGCAAGCATGAGCATCCCACTAATCATCACTGGATTGGGCACTAATATAAACAAAGATGCTCAAGAGCTCATGCTGAGTGAGCCACCTTCAAGTTCCTACCTCTAGTTATGTAGTATAATTCAGAGTCATTTGAGAAACAGAATTCATAGACAAAAGTATGTTCAAACTTACATTCACCGGCTGGGGATGTAGCTCAGTGGTATAGTACTTGCCTAGCATACAGAAGTTGCTGGAGTCAAACACCCAGAGGTGTTTTTACAAGTGTCCTTTTTCAACAAGATGAAGTTTTCAATAATCACAAATGCTGGTCATCTAGTACAACCACCAGAATGTCACTAGTCATCATTCTTGCTTATGTGCAATATATTTTCCTTCTGACACAACCTAATTTGATATAAATGGGTCCAGTCATTGTCTTCAATGCATAAACAAGAAGCAACTTGAATGGAATGATGACACACTTTGAAAAGCAGAGATTGACAGTATAGAGACTTGGGGACAAGAACCAGAAGAAACCTTTTGTCCTTTTGTGTATTTGCTGATTGTGGCCACTCTTGGTGCACCTCTCTCTATGCTCCTTTCTTGTTACACATCTGATTTGAATGCTTATGCTCATTGACTTTTGTGTTCTTGTGCGTGTGTGTGTGTGTGTGTGTGTGTGTGTGTGTGTGTGTGTGTGTATGCACGCATGTGGGGCAGGGGAGAGAGAGAAGCAAAGTGTTTCTTGTTTGTTTTTGTTTTGTTGTTTGTTTTGAAACAGAGTCTCATGTAATCCACAATGCCAGTGCTAGCCTCCAACTCAACATGTAGCTGAGGATGAATTTGAACTTCTGGTCTACCTTCCTCACTTCCCAAGTGCTAAGATTCCAGAACTCGGTCTGCTTTACCCATTGACTTTCTCACCTGGTTTTTGTTGGGATAATGAAACAGTAGAAATAAAAATGATGCTATAAATACAAAAGGGTTGTCAGTCAGATGTACCTTTTACACCTGAGTCATATTTCTAGACGGTTTCCACAGTTATTAAAACATGTGGAGCCAAGAACTCAGGTCCCCTGGTCAAGAATCCATGTTGATATCCATTACAGTTCATTATAGAACCTCTCAGAGTTCTACATAGAACTAGTTAAGGGTACTTCCAGACAGCTGTGTGATCAACTGCCCTATCCCCAATTTACCTCCAAAACTGTAGTATAAACTCAAGGAAAATGGGTACCTCTCACACACATCTTAACTAGAACCAAGTTCATTAGAATATTCATTTAAAATGGCAGGTACCCTGTGGCTGGTACATGAAAATATGCAAATAAACTAATATAAGGCAAAGGTCCTGACCAAAGTTTTACCACTTCAAAGATACATGCATGAGGTGTTTTTATATTT